GCTAGCCTTGAGCTGAAGAGCTGAGGGACAGCACCCAGGCCCAGAGTTCAGGCCCACGACTGGACCCCCCCAAAAAAAGAGTCTCATGGCCTTTCCTTCCTAGGCTCAGTTTGAACTGTGATTCTCAGATCTCAGCCTCTTGAACAGATAGGATTACTGGGCAAAATATAGATGCTTACACAATTCAGTGCATGTGAAGTTTGAAGACCAGGCAAATCCAGAGACAGAAAGCCAGTTAGCGCTTGCGTATGGCTGGAAGAAGGATGGAGAGGAACAATAACTGCTAATGGACACAGCTTTCTTTTGAAGATAAGAAAAATGTTCTAAAATAGAATATGGTGCTTGTTGCACAACTCTGTGAATATACTAAAACCACCAGATCTTACATTAAACAAGTGACTTATGTTTTATGTGAATTATATCCCAATAACATATTCCTTTGCTTTAAAAAAAAAAAAAGCCATGGGCTGGGAAGGTGGCTCAGTGGTAGAGTGCTTGCCTTGCATGCCTGAGGCCCTGGGTTTGATTCCTCGGCACCACATAAGCAGAAAAAAGAAAAAAGCCGAAAGTGGCTCTGTGGTTCAAGTGGTAGAGCGTTAAGCCTTGAGCTGAAGAGCTGAGGGACAGTGCCCAGGCCCAGAGTTCAGGCCCCATGACCGGACCCCCCCAAAAAAAAAGCCAGAAAACTGGGTCCTGTTAGCACATGCCTATAATTTTAGCTATTCAGGAAGCTTAAATCTGAGGATCACAGTTTGAAGTGAATCATGGGAAGCAGAGTCTACAACTTTTCTCTCCAATTAATCACCAGAAGTGGAGGTGTGGCTCAAGCAGTAGAGGACCAGCCTTGAACGGAAAAGGCCGAGGTACAGCACACAGGCCCTGAGTTCAAGACTCAAAACCAGTGCACATGCACAGAGAAAGAGAAAGAGAGTTGGGGGAGGGGGAAACTCACAGAGAAAAAGTGCAAAGAACATTAACTACTCAATTACTTGAAGTGAAAGACTTGTTTGAAATACATAATTTGGGGTGGGAGCCCCAGGGAGAGGGGGAGAATCCCCCACAATGTATAGAGGTGGGCTTGGGGGGACATGTAGGCCCCATTAAAGGGAAGCTAACTCTCCAAAGGTAGAACTTCATTTGCTGAGACAAAGAATGACAGACACTCTCCATTTGGGGGCACAACATGTCATGGCACCATCAACATCTGGGGACCCAGAGCCTAGAGTTTCTACATACGACAGATTGGAAATGAACAGGTTAGGCTTAGGAAGAGACTGAATTAAGTCTGTTGCTAGGTGCACTCTTACCTTCTAGGCACAGCTGGAAACTTGGAAATGAGGAGAGAGGGGCCCAAGCAAGAGAAATAACTGAACACAGAGAGACAATGAGAAGACATGATGAGCCCAAGACACGTTAGACTGGTTCATGGTGTGGCAGGAGGAGAAACACTGGGACACGATGCAGTTTGAGAGGGAACAGGGTGCCAGTGGCTCATGCCTATAATCTTAGCTACTTAGAAGGTTGAGATCTGAAAATCAACGTGCAAAGTCAGTCCAGGCAGGAAAGTCCAGGAGACTTTCATCTCCAATTAGCCAAAAACATATAAAAAAACAAAACCAGAAACGTATTTTAAAAAACAACTAACAAACAAACAAACAAACAGAAACAGAACTAGACCTATGGTCCAACTAGTAGAGCATCAGCCTTGAAAGAAAAAGCTAAGTAAGGGACAGTGCTCTGGCCTTGAGTTCAAATCCCTGTACTAGTATACACACACACACACAAACACACACACACACACACACACACACACACGAGGATTTTTTTTTTTTTTTTTTTGCCAGTCCAGGGGCTTGAACTCAGGGCCTGCACACTGTCCCTGAGTTTCTTTTGCTCAAGGCCAGCACTCTACCACTTGACCCACAGCACCACTTCGGGCTTTTTCTGTTTATGTGCTACTGAGGAATAGAACTCAGGGCTTCATGCAAGCTAGGCAAGCACTCCACCACTAAGCCACATTCCCGACCCAAAATAGAAGAATTTTTGAAGTTAGTAACAATGGTGATGAATAGCCTTGGGCTACATTCTGTTTTATACAGACAAACTTGTTTATAATGGCAGAGAACATTACTGAAAGCAATGCATACACTTCTCCTCATGGTCTCATGAAGTGCAAGATCACAGTCAGTGGCTGGTTAGCACCACATGAGACAAACGATGTCTCTGATCTTACTAACAGCACTATAAATATGTACTCTCTCTTGGTTACTGGGGGAGGAAAAACAGCAAAGAAAGAAAATTATAGGAGAGACCTGACTGGATCAAAGTGACTCCAGTATAACTACTGGAAAAATAATTCCCTAAGGACCAATTCATGACTTCTGACCAGTGCCACCATCTTTATACATGGAACGAACATCCATCATGCATTCTTCTTTACAATACATGCTTTCACCCAACTCAACTCTCTGATATATACTGCAAACAACAATAAAAGAAATGTTCAAATAATAGTAAGTACGGTATATACAAACATATACATACCTAGTATCAAAAGGGATTTTAAATTCCTTGCTATAGACCCAGTTATCTAAGGAAATCCATCTGTAGTTAAGGTCATTAAATCTGTAGTAAGGATCCTGTTGATATAAAATAAAAAGTTTGGTAGGTAAAGATAAACATGCAAACATAAATCATTAAATTACTGAGTGATGAAAGGGGTGACATCGATCAAGATATATTCCTATTGATTTGTTGAGTGGTAGGTAACTCCTTTATACAACTTTATACAACAGTATAACTTAAAAAATTACTATAGCTATTGATCACCTAAAAATGAACGAACTCACAGGGCTGGGAAGGTGGCTCAGTGGTAAGAGTGTTTGCCTCACATGCATGAGGCCCTGGGTTCAATTCCTCAGCACCACAGAAGCAGAAAAAGCCAGAAGTGGCGCTGGGGCCCAAGTGGTAGAGTGCTAGCTTTGAGCTGAAGAGCTGAGGGACAGCGCCCAGGCCCAGAGTTCAGGCCCCATGACTGACAAAAAAGAAAAAAAAAAGAATGAACTCTGACTCATAAATATACAGGTCAGTTAACACAAAAAAAGTGGGTAGAGGTGGGGCAAAGTGCTTGTCTGACACGTGAAAACCTGGGTTTGACTCCCAATACTGTAAAACAACAACAAAAATTGATGATAGAGGGGATGAATTCCAATGAATACTTAAAATGAAGGAATTCTGAGATATAAATAATAGGGATGCATTATCAAAGAATATGTGCATAGATTAAGAGTGGCTGTTCTGGTTTTTCTCATAGGTCCACAAAAACACTCACTCCTTGGAGTCAGTTACACTTCCAGAGTTATTTTCCACGTGGTTTTACTGAGTGGGCACACCAAGGATCTCCACAGAGAATCAATCAATCTGTTAGAAAAAAAAAGAGCTCCCCAAAACGGCAAGAGGGTTGCCACCCAGAACACAGAAACAAAGAGCACTCTGGGCAAGGCAAATCTGTACTTCTGCAGAAGGGTACAAGTGCACCACTGAAGAGGTAACAGACAACATGAGGAGAGCAAGGTCAGTTCCTGTTTAAACCTAACCCTAAAGGCCCTCCCCTTCATTCCTACTGGCCAGAGTATCAAGGTTACCATCTTCACGATTGGCTGACACTTGATTTTGAACCAGAGGAGGGACTAACATTTACAGTTTGGGCAGTCAAGTTTTGCCAAGAAGAATCCAGAAGAGCCCTAACTTTAGACCCTTAAGATGATGACTCACTTTGGTAGAAAAGACCGTTTTTCTCACAGATCTTACCAACTTCAGGTTTCTGTGATCACCCATACCGGGCCAGCAACCTGAGGCCCACAGACCCAAATACAGCTCACCAATGCAGCTGACTGCCTGTTTGTGTGGCCAGCGAGTCAAGAATGGCCCTGGCTCATAAATAAGAGTCATACTGGAGCTCAGCCATGCCCATTCCCTTAAGTACCACTCATGGCTGCTTTGGAGATGCAATGGCAGGGTTCAATAGACCTATGGCCTCCAAAGCCATGGTTGGTACCCAACCCTCTACTGAGAATGTCAGTCACCCCCTTGCCTTAGAAGCCAGACCTCCTGTGAGGCAGTTTCTCTGTAAATGTCACCACAGCTACAGAGAGGAAAATGGTGCAAGAAGGAGCTTCTTCCATCATCAGGGACAGGGCCAAAGGCCATGTCCTTAGGGACTATAACACCAGAAGGACAAAGGAAAAAGCCAACTTCATCTACATTCTACACAGGGAAGAGCTGGATGACCACATTAGGCTAGCAGTGGCCAGTGGGGCAACTGTTTGGACACCAGCCCACAAGATGCACTACAACCACTGGCTTGTACCATGATGGAGAAGAATATACTGAAAGTGGAGGTGCTGCTCAAGCTGTAGAGTGCCAGTCCTGATTGAAAAATAAAAACAAACAAACAAATAAGAGCACCAGGTCCCAATATAGATACAAAAAAAAATATAGCCAAGTACCAATGGTTCAAACCTGTAATCTTAGATACTCAGGAGGCTGAGATCTGAGGGTCCCATTCAAAGCCCAGCCTGGACAGCAATGTCCCTGAGACTCTTATTTCCAATGAACCACCAAAAAGCCAGAAGTGGAACTGTGGCTCAAGTGGTAGAAAAAAGAAAAATACATGGAGCCTAATGGGAAGAAACACTTTAATAAGTTACCCAGGAAGTGGCGCTGTAGCTCAAGTGGTAGAGAGCTCTCCTTGAGCTGAAGAGCTGAGGGACAGCACCCAGGCCCAGAGTTCAAGCCCCACGACCGACAAAATAAATAAATAAATAAATAAATAAATGTTTAAAAAAAAAGTTACCCAGAAAGGAAGTAATTGATGAGATTTACTAACAACAGATAATCATCAAATTGATTTTCAAGTTCTGGTTAACGATAAGGTTTTGATCTGTTAAATGGTGTGTAGCAGGCCCAGCTAACTTGTCTCCGTTTCTGGTCTTCCCATACGCAGAATTTGGCCTCACCAGTGAATAGACACGAAATAAATATTTAAGGACACTGCTTTGATTGTTAGTTTGACCAACCAAGCTCTCTGCTCAGCCTATTTATAACTCTACACTGTGGATATAGTCCAAGAGAGTTAAATATACCACAGGGGGGGAAGTGTGAGGGCCACGCCCCCATACCTCTACAGGCCAATGAGGGAGGGGGGGTCTCACCATCTGACTGGCCGAGCTCAGTCTTGTCACGCCCACCCCTCCTACTTGCAGGCTGATGCTGACTGAGCCGCAGGAGGCAATCACCCTGTGTATATTTTCTCTACACAAACAAAATTTACAGCTTAATTTTTTCCCCCTCTGATTCAAAGAATTCTGAAGGCTTCATATTGCATGACTCCAAATAGATGCTATTCTGGATGTTTACAGACTAAACCCCAACAGGCCAGACCCAGCCAAAATGAAGACATTCATGCTCAGTGCCACATCATCAAACAAACCTTCCTTAAGGATGCAGGCAGAACCCCCAAAGAGACAAGCATTTTTGTGAAAATAGAAGATTCTGGTCCAGCTGAATATGTCACAAAATTAACATATCATTTATTGACACATTTTAGAATGTATCAGCTAACTATAGAGTTGGCAGCTACAGTCTGATCTTCAAACATGAACAGTTAGTACCATTTTAAAATGGTACTAACCAGTAGTCATGCCTATAATCCTTGCTACTCTGGAGACTGAAATCTGAGGATTGTGGTTTAAAGCCAGCTGGGTCAAGAGAGTCCACAAGACTCTTATCTTTTGTTAACTACCAAAAAGCCAGAAGTAGAGGTGTGGTTCAAGTAGTAGAGCACCAGCCTTGAGCAAAAAAAAAAAAAAATGAGAGTGCTCAGGCCTTAAGTTCAAACCCTCAGTACCAGCACAAATTAATTAACTAAATTTAAAAAGGAAGAAACCATCTGGGCACTAGTGGCTCACATCTGTAATCAAACCTACTCAGGAGGCTGGGATCTGAGGACCACGGTTCAAACCTAGCCTGTGAGACTTTCATCTTCAATTAATTGCAGAAAAAGCCAAAAATGGAGCTGTGGCTCAAGTGATAGATTGCTAGCTTTGAACAAAAGAGTTCAAGAACCCGGACCAGCAACAAAAAAAAAAAAAAAAAAGAAAGAAAGAAAAAAAAGAAAAGTAAAAAGAAGAAGAAAAGAAAAGAGAAGACTGAAGGCAGAAACCCCAAAAGGTGAAATGGGTTTCCCAAAGTCCCACCACTAAGTCTAGCTACATCCCAGGGATGGCCCCCGCCACATATGCTCTCCTATAGGACAACAAGGAAATGATCCCGTTGGACCTGGATGTGGGGATGTGACCCCACTGGAAGTTGTTATTGCTCCCATTTACCAACAGAGTTCAGGGGGCAAAGTTCCTATGGCTATTTAAATAATGCTGAAGCAGTGACTCAGACCCAGGAGATCCAGCTGAGCGATCACACACTTGCTCATTAGCCAACACTTGTGACATGTCACAAACCCTGTCCACAGTGACAGCATCAGAGCTACTGACTGAGTAAGCAGCTGGAGACAAGCGTGTCACGGGTGCAACCCTCCTGCTGATATTTATAACTTACATTTACCCTTCTTACCACACATCAACAAATCATGGGTCATCGGAGCCTACAAACAGCATGATTATCATGTATAATTGTCAGGGAGCTTCTGGATTCCATTAATTACCCCTACTTATCCAAGATAAGCAGACTACTTAGTGAGACGGACCTCTTCTACTTCTTCCAGGAGCTAGGAAGTGGGAAACTTGAGGTGACTCGTGTGGGGAGAAGTCAGTTGGAGGAGATTTATGGAACAGGTGACTCTGATCAAGGTGCACTGAGCAGCTGGGCGCCGGTGGTTCACGCCTGTAATCCTAGCTACTCAGGGAGGCTGAGATCTGACGATCATGGTTCAAAGCCAGCCCGAGCAGGAAAGTCTATGAGACTCTTACCTCCAATTAAATCACAGAAAAAGCCAGAAATGGAGCTATGGATCAAGTGGTAGAGCACTAACCTTGAGCAAAAGGAGCTCAAGGACAGTGCCCAGGCCCTGAGTTCAAGACTCAGGATGAACAACGCAACACACACACACACACACACACACACACACACACACACACACTATCTGCATGCCTTTCCTCTTGCTCACCAGTCAGTTGTTGCTCTGTTTTACAGGCTTTGATTATTCAGCCTTGAAGAATGGGAAGACATTAGGGATTCTGTACAGAAAACAGAGATAGTCACCTGCCAAACAGCCAAGACGAGTCACAGAGCCTCTCAGTAAACGCAAATTCCATCTGATCATTGTCTCAAGTCAAAACTCCTTCTTTAGCTAACCTCCTCTTCCTCTTGCTTGCCACATGAAATCTACCAACATAGGCAACGAAATAATTCCTTTTGTTTCTGCATTCAACACGTGTTCTCATAACCATTCTCACAACTTCACTGCTTCAGCCCCAGACAATAGAACTGTGATGGCCCTTCCCCAGCAATCTATGCTTCTACTCTCCTGTGCCCTCATCTTCACACTTGGCAGTGACCTTCTAAACGGTAACTGATCACTGGATGCTGGTGGCTCCTGCCTGTAATCCTATCTACCCAGGAGACTGAGAGCTGAGGATCACCGTTGGAAGCTAGCTCATGCAGAAAAGTCTGTGAGACCCTTATCTCCAATGAATCAGCCAAAAGCCAGAAGTGGAGGTATGGCTCAAGTGGTAGACAGCCTTGAGTAGAAGAGACAAGTGACAATACAAGGACTTGAGTTTAAGTGCCAGTCCTGTAACAAAAGAAGGGGAAAAGGAGCCAGGCACTTGTGGCTCACACCTGTAATCCCAGCTACTCAAGAGGGTGAGATCTGAGGATCTCAGTTCAAAGTCAGACTGGGCAGGAAAGTCTGTAAGACTTTCATATCCAATTAACTTATTTCATGATATGAGCAACCTTTCTCAGTGACTCGTGACCTATATTCTTTCTTGGTAAGTAACTCTAGGCAATAATCTGATTTGCTGCAGTCATTGTTTCTCATTGGCTTAATTCAAGAAGTCAAATGAGGTACACAGGGACTAGGAAAAACAAACCAGGCTTCCTCCAACCAGGCCCAAGTGAAGCCTCGGGGCACCAAGGGCAGCTCACGGTCTACGTCACGACAGGTAGCTAGTTAACTGAACATAAAGCACTTACATTTGAGATTGCTTACCCAAACATACACATAGGACAGTGCTCACTGTCAGTTATAACCTGCTCTTTCTTTCTGATACACACTTTGACAAAAAAAGAAAGCAACTCCTGAATACCGGATAGGAAATTTTGCATAACCCTGGTTGATAACTTGTGGTTAAATTAAACTGAGATAATCTTGATGGTGGATCATAATGTTTCACAGACACAAGGCTTTCCAAGACACCATGACTAAGCCTAGCACAGGATAGAATCCAGGCTATGGAGTCAGGGCCATCTGGGTTGCAAATGGCCTGTCAACTAAGGTGCTGTAGGGTCTTGGGCATGCACTCTCTAACTTCTCCTGGCTCCAATCTCATCCACTCCTGCTCTGTTGAGCTGTTATGAACATTGAGGACAACAAGTGCAGCCCAGGAGTGTGTGGCGTTCTGGTACATTGCCTCCCAGCAAAGAGAAGATGGGAGACAATGATAACACAGCAGGTGTGAAGCCCAGGTGGAGAAAAATGGAAGAAAGATAAAGGAAGAAGCAAGTCTGTTTGCAAAACTCTGTGCACAGGCTGCAGACAGGAAATAGGTCCTCAAGCTATGTGTATACTGAGGCTTGGAACCTCCCCCCCGCCCCACCTCCGGGCACAACTACACTTACTTATATCTCAGCCTTAAAAAGTGATTTAGGAGCCAGGTGCCAGTGGCTCAGGCCTGTAATCCTAGCTACTCTGGAGGCTGAGATCTAAGGATCGAGGTTCAAAGCCAGGCCAGGCAGGAAAGTCTGTGAGACTCTTATCTCCAATGAACCACCAGAAAACCAGAATTGGTGCTGTGGCTCAAATGGTAGAGTGCTATTCTTGAGTTGAAGAGCTGAGGGACAGCACCCAGGCCCAGAGTTCAAGCCCCACAACCAACAAAAAAATAAAAATAGAAATAATTTAGGCCTATCACCCGTGGTTTGTAATCCTAGCTATTCAGAAGGTTGAGATCTGAGAAGCCAGTTGAAAACCAGCCTGTGCTTAAGTCTGTAGGATTCACTTCCAATTAACCTGCAAAAAGCCAGAAGTGGTGCTGTGGCTCAAGTCTTAAACTGAAAAAGTCAAGCGAAAGCAAAAGCCCCTGAGTTCAATCCCCAGAACCTGACCCAAAATTAATGTTTTTAAAACAAATTAGGATTTACAAAAAAGAAAAAGTCTGCAATATACAGTACAAATTCAGAAATACAGAAAATAATAGAGCATATACCTAGCCGATGCAACATTATTTTCAATTTTGCTATATTTTGAGAATTGATTGTGATGGTATTACACAGTATTTGATAACTTGCTTTCCTTCATGTGCTAAGAATTCATTTTATTGGTATCTAGTGATCTAGTTAGTTCAACTTAACTTCTATAGGACATTTCAGTATAGAAACACATTAAATTTATCTTTAAAAAGAAAAAAAGTATTTAGGCTTAGGGCTGGGTGTACAGCTTATTGGTATAAGCCCTGGATTCTAGCCTTGCACACAACCAATCCTAGTATTTAAAGTTTGTGCTAACACTGACAATTCCAACTTTTAATCTTGCCAGTCTCCTCCTCTGCTCCCATCAGGACTCCACTAAATGTTGCAATTGCAAAAGAAAGAAAGAGAAGAGAAGGAAAAGGAAAGGAAAGGAAAGGAAAGGAAAGGAAATCAACCCTGAGACGTGACGTGGGGTAGTGCAAACTGACTTTACTAAAGATTACTGTCTCCAGCAAGCGTCCAGGTTAACTTTCCTTGTTCTAATTCTCTTTAATGTTTCTTTCCAGCTCACACTGTCAGAGAAAATTCTCCATGGGTGATAACTAAGTCGTTAACTGCCATCCCGTGTGCATGACAATGTATCTTTAGGCTTTGTTTTGTGGTTTGACAGACTTGCTGCCACTGCAGCTATCTTTTAGGAGGAAATAATTAGTTATGTACATGTTCATTTTTTCTTTTAACAGCGACCACGGCGTTCTCTCTCTCAACTTCCTCCTTCCTGAGTGACTGGGGTCCCCAGCTTGGGTCGAAGTCTCTCCATCCAGCCTGTACCCCCCTAGCTGGGCTCCCTCCCCCCCCCCCAGATCACCAGATGTGAGGGGAAGTTGGCGCCAAACCCACGAGCAAGGGCCGGAGTTTGGGGGTTGCCGGGCGGTTCTGGGGCTCCAGCACTGCGGAAAGGGGAGCGGGAGGGGCGCGGGGGGCCGCGCGGGCCGCGCCTCGTACCTGGATCAGGCCCTGCTGGATCAAGGCGCTGTGCACGCAGCCCGGGACCGCGCCGGGCAGCTTCAGCGAGCCGTTCCCGCTGCGCAGCCGCCAGTCTCCGCGCAAGCTCAGGCTGCTCGTCGCGGCCGCCCAGCCCGCGGGGCCCACGGCCAGCAGCACGAGCAGGTGCATTCGCATCTCGGGAGCCCACGCCGCGGAGACCACCCCCCACACCTCTCGACCAAAGCCACGCGTCCTCCGCCGTGCAGCGCTGGCTTTGGCTGTCCCCGCCCCGGAACCCCGGGACCCGCCCTCCCTCGGGACCGGGGCCAGCCCCCCGGGTCAGCTGAGCGCCGGGCCCCACGCCCACCCCCTGCCCCGTCCGCCCGTCCGTCCGTCAGGCTCCGCGGATTTCTCCATCCACCGTGGGGAGGGCCACGGAGTCCATCCGAGATCAGGTACACGACGAGCGGCTCTTCCTCCCCCCACCCCCCGACCCCGACCCCGCAGAGAATCGAAGCGGGGAGACGCACCCCGCCTCGGTCCCCGGCCTTCGTCGCGCGCGCAGCAGTGATCTGCGGGTGCCCCGGTCCCCGCGCAGCTCGCCCCATAAAGAATAAACAAGATCTCGGGACGCTGGTGGCTCACGGCTGTCATCCTAGCCACTCAGGAGGCTGAGATCCGAGGATTGCAGTTTGAAGCCAACCCCAGGCAGGAAAGGCTGTGAGACTCTTATCTCCAATTAATCCCCAGAAAACCAGAAGTTGAGCTGTGTCCAGGTGTGGTTCAAAAGGCAAAGCACCTGTCTTGAGTAAAAGAGCTAAGGAAGAATGTAGGCCCAGAGTCCACACACACACACACACACACACACACACACA